CCCCCAAGCTGCATCAGAGGAGCAGAAAGGCTGACGTTTCAGGCCTAGACCCTTCCTCAGAAATGGGGGAGGGGAAGGGGGTTCTGAAATAAATAGGGAGAGAGGGGGAGGCGGATAGAAGATGGATAAAGGAGAAGATAGGTGGAGAGGAGACAGAGCGGTCAAAGAGGCGGGGATGGAGCCAGTAAAGGTGAGTGAAGGTGGGGAGTTAGGGAGGAGATAGGTCAGTCCAGGAAGGATGGACAGGTCAAGGGGGCGGGATGAGGTTAGTAGGTAGGAGATGGGGGTGGGGCTTGAGGTGGGAGGAGGGGATAGGTGGGAGGAAGGACAGGTTAGGGAGTCAGGGACGAGCTGAGCTGGTTTTGGGATGCGGTCGGGGGAGGGGAGATTTTGAAGCTTGTGAAGTCCACATTGATACCATTGGTCTGCAGGGTTCCCAAGCGGAATATGAGTTGCTGTTCCTGCAACCTTCAGGTAGCATCGTTGTGGCACTGCAGGAAGCCCAGGATGGACATGTCGTCTGCGGAATGGGAGGGGGTGTTGAAATGGTTGACGACTGGGAGGTGCAGTTGTTTAGTGCTAACCGAGCGTAGGTGTTCTGCAAAGCGGTCCCCAAGCCTCCGCTTGGTTTCCCCGATGTAGAGGAGGCCACAATGGGAACAGCGGATGCAGTATATCACATTAGCAGATGTGCAGGTGAATATCTGCTAGATGTGGAAAGTCTTCTTGGGGCCTGGGATGGGGGTGAGGGAGGAGGTGTGGGGGCAGGTGTAGCACTCCCTGCGGTTGCAGGGAAAAGTGCTGTGTGAGGTGGGGCTGGAGGGGAGTGTGGAGCGGACAAGGGAGTCACGGAGAGAGTGGTCCCTCCGGAAAGCAGAAAAGGGTGGGGACGGAAAAATGTCTTTGGTGGTGGGGTCGGATTTGCAGATGGTGGAAGTGTCGGAGGATGATGCGTTGGATCCGGAGGTTGGTGCGGTGGTACGTGAGGACGAGGGGGATTCTGTTTGGGGTGTTATTGTGGGGAGGGGGTGTGAGGGATGAGTTGCGGGAAATGTGGGAGACATAGTTGAGGACGTTCTCGACCACTGAGGGGGGAAGTTGCGGCCCTTGAACAACGAGAACATCTGAGATGTACGGGAGTGGAATGCCTCATCCTGGGAGCAGATGCGGCAGAGGCGAAGGAATTGGGAATAGGGGATGGCATTTTTGCAGCAAGGTGGGTGGGAGGAAGTGTATTCTAGGTCGCTGTGGGAGTCGGTGGACTTGAAATGGATATCGGTTTCTAGGTGGTTGCCGGAGATGGAGACAGAGAGGTCCAGGAAGGAGACAGAGTTATTAGAGATGGTCCAGGTGAACTTAACTTTGGGGTGGAAGGTGTTGGTGAAGTGGATGAACTGTTCGAGCTCCTTGTGTGTGCACGAGGCGGCGCCGATACAATCATCAATGTAACGGAGGAAGAGGTGGGGTTTAGGGCCAGTGTAGGTACGGAAGAGGGATTGTTCCACGTAACCTACATAGCTTGGGCCCGTGCGGGTACCCATGGCCACCCCCTTTGTCTGTAGGAAGTGGCAGGTTTCTAGGTAGCTGCGGGAGTCGGTGGGCTTGAAATGGATATCAGTTTCTAGGTAGTTGCCGGAGATGGAGACAGAGAGGTCCAGGAAGGAGACAGAGGTATTAGAGATGGTATTAGAAACGTCAGCCTTCCTGCTCCTCTGATGCTGCTTGGCCTGCTGTGTTCATCCAGCTCTATACCGTGTTATCTCTGGGTTTATCTGTCTGAACCCTGTTTAATACAGGAACCAGACTCTGGGTTTATCTGTCTGAACCCTCTTTAATAGAGGAACCAGAGTCTGGGTTTATCTGTCTGATGGGAATTGGGATAGCAGGGGAGGTGGAAGGTGAGTCTTTACATTGTAATAAGAGTTGGAGGGGGGATTTGGGCAGTGGGGGAAGGGAGGATGTTAATTAAGGAGCAAATTATTGCAGGTGCTGGAACCTGTACTGAAAACAACAAATACTGGAGATCACAGTGGGTCAGGCAGCTTCGTGGGAGAGAAAACAAGCTAACGTTTCAAACTGAGATGACTCTTCATCAGAGCTGAAGTGAACTGTGGAGGGGGCAGCATTCATGCCATAGTTGGGCGAGGGGTGTTAGGCGTGTGGAGCGCTGGAGGAGAAAGGATGCTGATAGTTCAGATTGAGTGATCAGACTGTGAGAATGGTGGAACTATGGTGTGTCTGCCAGCCAAGCAGGTAAGGACAGTCCCACTCGGGAAGCGGGGAATGGGTTGGAGAGGAGGGGACACCATAACAGAATGTAACACGTAAAGCAAAAAGAAAGGAGGGAACGGGAGTGGATTCACAATCTGAAGCTGTTGAACTCAATATTGAGATAGTAGGAACTGCAGATGCT